GTGTAACACTAATGCAAATTGATCAAATTTTTGCAATCCAAATATCACCAACCATCATTTTTCTTCACAAGGATTTCACTTCCATTATGTTCTATCATACCTCCTCCTATTGTGAAATTTCTTCTGTTATGCATAGATCATGTATGTCTTAATTGGCTTCTCACTTTATCCAAATAACAAACATACTGAACTTCAAACATAACTCACCTGAGATGTCTTGCTTTGGAAGAATAAAGAACATCTTCATTTGCCCTTGGAAAGTAAGGATTATTATACAGAATTTGGAGACCAAAATTCAAAAAGGAAAACATACTTCAAATGTTTAGTGATTTTTTTTTTTCTTTATGGAAGTTGATCCTTTGTTGGCTCACTTTTTTCCAGAATGATAATATATCTTCTAAATGTTTAAAATGAAAAGTCAACATGTAACTACCCTATGATATATATTTTTGAGCTTTATTATTCCACAATGTAGTGTCAAGAAGAAATGCAAAGCAACTTATTTTATGGGCAAAATTAAGTAAATATTTTTCTTTGAAAGCACAAAGTCATTTGAGCTTTGATTGCAATATTTTTTTTTTTTTTTTTTTCTCACCTGACAACCGGAGAAGCTGCTGTGATCCTGTGACAAGCCGGTGCTTGCTGGTTTGCACGAAAAAAAACCCCAAATAAAAACCAACCCGCAGCCAAGCGCTGACCCCAGGCATGTTTTTAAAAGCATTTTTCTGAAGGAATTTGCCAGGCGTCTGTGGATGCCTGGCTCAGAGGCTGGACACAACTCATTGCACCCCCTCCGGTGGCGGAGCTGGGTGCTGCCCACCTGCACTTACCTTGGGCTTGGCAGAGGAAGAAGAAGGAGATGAGGAGGAGGAAGATGACGTGCTCCATGGCTGTCCCAGAGAAAGGTGGGAATTGGGGTGGAAGCTCAGGACAAGCGCGGGGGGAGGATCAGCCCCAGCTCTGCACCTGCTGCTCCCCACAACCCCTGGGAGCCCCCCGGACGGGCTGTTCCGCTCCCCAGTTCCCCGACCCCGAGGTGCTGGGGGGGGCTCTGGGCTGGGCACCGCTCCCTGATGGACCCGATCCTGATGCTCGGAGCTGCCAGACACGTCCCACACATTACAAACCGCTGCCGTGCAGCGCCCGGCGCAGCTTCTCCTCCTGGAGTGAGCTGCAAAGGGAAAGCAAAACCCCCAAAACCGCTGTCCCCCCCCGTTCCGCCCTCTCGTCCCGAGTAATTAAAATTAGTTTCCTCTGAGGTCTGCAGCCACCCAGCCCTGTAACCGAGCTCTCCGGGGCAGCTGGCAGCACGTCCTTCTCCACCATCCTCTGCCCCGCGGGGACCCGGGGTACCCCGACATCCACCCCGGTGGCAGGTTGGGCTGGGGGGGGAGTTCCATCGGGGGCGAGAGCGGCAGCGCGGAGGAGATCACAGAGGCGGAGGGTGTGAAGAAACCGCAGGCGGGAGAGGAAGTTGCTGCTGGCCAGTCGCTGGCTCTTGGAGGGGGGTTTGCACCTCCCTGGTAGCAGGAAGCTCACTTGGGTGCCACCCGGAGATGCACAAGCATTGGGGTCCCCGGTGCCCCCCAGCGCTGTCGGTGCTGCTGGGCCTGGTGCTGCTGGGCACGGGCGATGGCCAAGGTGAGGAGGGGACGCGGTGCTGGGCTCACTGGGAGGATGGGGACTGGCTGGGCCTGGCTGAGGGGAGGCTGCTGGTGCACCGGCAGCGTCCGAGAGGTGCAGGCATGGGGCGGGGGGTGTTGCTGCCGCCTGTCCTGGCAGCTGGGTGCTGGGAAAAAGCCGGTTGTGCCGCCGGCACGAAGACATCCGCAGGAACTCAGACCGCGGAGGGCTGCGGGGTCACGGGGCCGCGAGCTGGGCGCGGGGTCCTTGAGGAGATGGAGAGGGGCTGGGTGGGGCCTTTTTGCTTTTTCTTCATTTCTCTCTGCGCCGGGTCCTGCCCAGAGCACGGAGGGCCCCCCGGCAGCGCCGGTTCCCCTTTGCAGGCAGCACACGGGGCTTGGCTGAGAAAAGTCACTTCCCTGCCAACACAGCACCCACACCCCGGACCTTTCCTGCACCCAGAACCGCAGCTTTTCGAGGCTGGGTCTCTCCACTGAACAAACACGGCACCTTCCCACCATGATCTCAGTGGAGATGGGGATGGGGAGCTGAGGATTTTCCTCCTAAAAACTTTTGCATGGGGGGAACAGAGAAACTCCTGAATTCGGGGGCTGGCTCGGTGCCTGGAGCATCTTCTGGCTGTGTCCCAATGCCTCCATCGTGCCCCCCTTCCCCGCTCTCGGGGAGCCCAGGGGAGCATCACCTCCACCTCCTCTCTCTCACCACCCCAAGACGCATCTCCCGGCCCTGTTGCCCACCCGCATGATGCGGGGCTGGGGGGCTCTCGCTGCTCAGGGCTGCGTAAGATGGGGTGTTGCTGGCTTGAAGCAGCAGAACCTGCAGCAACCACGGACGCAGACGAGCTGCAAAACCAATGTGGTTAACGTGCATGGGGCTGAATTTGACCTGCCCAGCTTTGCTCCGGCTGTAGGCAGTGAGTTACAGCAACATCTCCAGGCTACGGGAGGTATTTTTGCATCGTTTTTTTTCCCAGTTCTGCACACCCATTGCCCTGGCACCCTCCCTCGGGGGCAGCTCCTTGCCAGGGCAGCTTCAAGGGCCTAGGATGAGGGCGTTAAGGTGCCCTCACACGGGTTTTTGGAGCACTAGATGCTTACAGAGCAGCACGGGGTGCTAATCCCTATTTCGTGCCTTGTTTAGTACCTGGAGGGGTGGGAGGATTGATCCACCAGGGTGGCGACTGATAAAGAGTGCCAGCTCTGGGGCCTGCCCCTTGATTTCCCCAGGGTAAGATGCTTCTGCCTTTGCTTGCTCCAGCCTCTTGTATTTCTTGATCTGCTGAGCGTGGGGATGTCCCCTCTGCACCCCGGGATGCGCTGAGGACGGGCGTCCTCACACATGCGGCTTTGCAAAGCCAAGGTTTAAGCTGGAGCTGCGTGGGCTCTCCCGGCTGTACCAGGAGGCACCAAAGCTGGTGGCACAGCTCCGTGTTCGCACCGAGGCAAAGCCCCCCCGGGGGCTGCGGGACGGGGAGGCTAAACTGAGCTCCCCAAGGCTTAAGCTTGCCTTGATGGCTGTGCGAGCCAGACTTTGGTGAGGGCTACAAGACAGGCGGTTGTGTGGGGTTGTGCCGTGCAAAGCCCGAGCGCGGCTGAGGCAGCCCCCGGCGCTGCCCTGACCACACGCAGCCCCGAGGAAGCCGCGAGGCTTCTGTGCACACTCGGCTGTGGGTGCTTGTTTGTTTTTAGGGGCTTTTTTAATCTCATTTCTGCCAGAGGCCCTGACATCCGGGCTTGCGCTGAGAAAAGGGAGGCAAGCACTGAAGCTCAAGAAAAAAGGGTCCAACAGGCAAAATCCCTGCTCTTCCCCAGGCTGGATGGGCAGGGAAGGAGCTGGGGCAGAAATGAGCCATGAGGGGCCATGATCAGCCCCCCCTGTTCTGGGCAGGGCAGAGGATATTGCCTGAGCACCTGCAATGTGAGGCCAGACCCACCCAGCCTGGGACGGTGCAGAGAGAAGGGTCCCCCCAAATGGGGGTGGTGATGGGGAGCCAGGCAGAGCTTCACCCCGGGGAGCAGGAGGGGCTGTGCTGGGGGCTGCGGGCCTGGGGCACAGGGGGGCTCCAGCAGCTGTGCCCCCTCCCCGGCCATGGAGCATCTCCCGGGGCCACGGGCCTTCGCTCACCCCTCTCTGCTTTAGGATCCCCGCAGTGCCGGGAACAAGCCGTGTCTGCCGGTGAAACGCTGCGGCTTCTGCCAGAGAAACCCCCGCAGGGGTGGGAAAAGGTCGACTGGCGAGTGAGACTGAACTCGGGACACAAGATCCGGATCCTGACGGCTGAGAAGAATCAGGCTGTCCAATTTTCCAAGAGTCCTTTTTCTGGGAGAGCTGGTTTCCATCCAGATACCCTCTCCCTGTGGGTAAGCGGGGTCTATTCAGTGGAATTTGAGGACACATGAGGTGTTGCTACTGTCGCATGAATCCGCGTGTCGGTGTGGGGTGAGTATCCTGGTCCCCATCACCCCGTCCCCCTGTCCCTCCCCGTCCCTTCTCACCAGCTCTGTCCCCGCAGAGCCCATCCGCTCGCCGCACCTGGAGCAAAACCTCCTGCACCGGGAGCAGGGCTGGTGCAACCTCTCGCTGGTCTGTGCCGTGCCCGGCGCCAGCAACGTCTCCTACAGCTGGACCTGCAGCGGGGACCCCCTGGGAGACCCAGAGCCCCGTCCCTGGGTGCATCTGCAGGTCCGTGATGGCGACAACCTCACCGTCTGCCCCCGATGTGGGGGCTGTGTTTGGCTTCGCTGCCCAGCGCATCCCTCGGCCGCTGGCCAAAAAAGGTCCTGAAATATCGTCTCTCAGGAAGGAATCCAGGATGTTATTAAAATCCTTCAAGCATCTGTCCTGGTCGGAGGCTGGCACAATGGACCTGCAGCTTTAGCATCAGCACATCATCCCTCCCATCTCCTTCCCACCGGGCCTGGTTGCCTTCAAACTGGTGTCATGGGGATGCCCCAACGCCTGTGCTGGTGGTTCCCTCTCAAGCTGGGGCTCCTTGGTGACACGTCTGGGGGTTCAGACCATGGCGAGGACACTGAGCTGGGCTTGTACGTGAAGAAACAGGAACCCTGTAGGATGTGACCCCTGGGGTCAGCGTTTAATTTACCAGCAGGATGTTGGGGTGACTCTGATGACGAATGGTGTGCGTGGCCTGATGTCATGGGGCTGAAACGTGTTGAGTTAGACTGTGAGGGGAAGTGGTTGTCTGAGGAAACTGAAAAAACAGAAGTGTGGGGTTTTTTTCCTGTGCTATAACAACTGTATCTCTCAGCCCCTTTCTTGCCCTGCCCCTCCAGCCCTGACTTTAGGGACGGTGGTGGGGGCGCAGGCTGCGGGGGGTCCTTGGTGAGCAGCTGCCTGGTGCAGAGGATTTCCACCCCAGGGGTAGGGCGGAGACTCGCAGAGAAGATGGCGATGGGGCTTACGGCAGCGCTCCTCTTCCTCTTCATCATGAAAGGTAGGGTGACGGGTTCCCCGGGGTGAGGGTGCTGGTTTGGGTGTGGGAGATGGCTTTGGGGACGGTGGGGGACCTTGAGGATGTACCCGTGGGTAAACCCGCCCTGTCCCTGTTCTATTTCTCAGCTTTTTCCATCGTGGCACCATACCCGAGGTGCAAGCAGCTGACTCCCTTCCCACTGGAGTCCCCGGTGTCGCCACCACCATGCTGGGGGTGCGGGGCTGCTGCGGGTGGGCTTGGAGCAGGGAGACGAGGCCAAAAATGAAAGCAAAGTTAAAAAACTTCACTGGCGGACCCGGGCAGTCTCATGCTCACGGTGGGGCGGTGTCAATCCTGCCTTGAGCCCTAGGGCTGCAACGTACCTCTGAGGCCAATAGGGTAAAAATACATTAGGAATTTTCCTTTTTACCTTGTCTGGGAGGAATCTGAAGTCCCCAAGCGGGGACGAGTTCTGGGGCAGGGTGGGCTGTGTCTGGCTGGCCAAGCAGCACCCTGTCGTGGCTTTCTCGGCAGCCTGGGCACAGCACGGTCCATCGCAGGTGGTTGGGGTTGTTCATGAGGTGGCGTATCTCAGCCCCAGCCTGAAAAGCCAGAAACCCTTCACCCAAATCCACTGGCGACGCAACAACTCTGTGAAGATCGCCAGCCGGAAGAGCAGGGAGGAGGTCCAGTACCCCAACAGCATCTACAGGGAACGTCTGGAGCTCTTTCCCAATAACACGTTAAAAATCAGCCACCTGCAGAAAAATGACAGCAGCATGTACCAGGTGTACCTGGAGGATGAGGTGGGCAAGGAGCACATCGAAAGCATCCTCCTGACGGTGTACGGTGAGCTGGGAGATGGGAGGGTGGTCCCCGTGCCCCACGGGGGGACAGGGAGGCTGTGACATCTCGCCGCCTCTTGCAGATCTGGTCCCGAAGCCCACTGTGAACGCTAAAGTGATCAGTGCTGACCCGGAGTTGTGCGAAGCCATCCTGGAGTGCTCGGTGGGGCTCGAAGGGGTGACCTACAAGTGGATCCCCCACAGCAAGTTCCCTCTGGGGAGTGGGGGTGCCTCTGAGCAGCGCGTCGCCTTCAACCCCTCGATGGGAACCTACACCTGCCAAGTCAGCAACCCTGTCTCCTCCAACAACGCCTCGCTGACCTACAGGCACCCCTGCTCCTGGACAGGTACCGCCCACAGCGCACGCATGGGGCAGCAAAACTCGGGCGGGATGGGCTGCAAGGTGGCCTTGGCCTTGGGGGGGTCCCTGGAGCAGTGACGGTGACCCCGAGGACAGCAGGTCCCTGCAAGGGGGCCCCTGTGTTAGGAGTGGTGGGTCCCTTCTCCCTGCATTGTGGTCTGGTGGGGGGCAGGACCCCCCCTGGGGAGGGGGCTGGGGGGTCCCTGGGCAGGGCCGGGCAGCCCGCAGCCTTCCTCACACCCCGGGTCTTCCTCTGCCTCCAGCTGAATCTTCTGCTGCTGCATCACACACTCCCCCCAGCCTGCTGGTGGTCCTGGGACTCCTCCTCCTCCTCCCTCAGGCGTAAGGACGCTCTTCGGTTGACACCTCTCCTCGTCTCGTCGCCCCCATTGCAGGACCGGTGCCTGCAGGAGACTCCCAAACTGGTTGGATGCAGAAAGATGTGGTTGCTCGGAGGAAGGATTACAACCGGTGTCCGTTACACCAGCACCCACCTGGTCCCAGCCAGAGCCACCTGCTTCCCACCAGCCCCGTCTCTGTCTGCTCTGCTGCTGCCCTCAGAGTAGCTCAGTGCCTCAGTTTCCCTCCTCACCTTTTCTGCTTTGCTCTAAGCAGAGGTCATGTTCTCTAGATCCAAACAAAACTGATGAAGTCTCTTGCAGTGGTATTTCAGGAATCTAAATCGCAAAATTTATGGTTAATTGCTTGGAAATCCTCCTCTCCTCATCCCTGAGATCTGCAGAGAGACCCAATCTGAGCCTTTCCCAGGGCTCCCTGTGGACTTGGGGGGATCCTCAGCCATGCTGCCGGTGCTGCCCTTCAGGGGACCGAGGAGCAGTGTCACAGTGCATGATGTCTTTAGACTGAAACTGGTGACACCAGCGCGGGTGCAGCTGGCTTCGCGTCTGAAGCGCCGAAACATCTCAAGGGGGCAGAGCTGAGGAGGTTTTTCCTGCAGCGAAGGATCGGGCAGGGCGAGGGCGAGAATGGTTTCCGCCTTCCAAAATGTCTGTGTGCACATTAAATGAGCAGTAACTTCAAACCCCGCTTTTTCAGGTGCCTGTTCTGCTTTCTCCTCTGGCCTGGGGCCGGCCGCAGGGAGGACTCGGGGACTGGGGGATGCTGGAGGGGGCCATGTTTGCCCCCCAACACCCTTGCTGGGGAGAGGAGCCCTTCCAGTGTTGTCCCCCACAGGAGGAGACATCTGCAGGTGGTCATGAGGCCTTTGGGGTGGGAGGATGTGTCTCGTGAGCGACGGAGACGGTCGCTCAGCCTGCCAGGAGGGGTGGGGGGACATGGCTCAGGGCAGCTCCAAGGGCCTAGGATGAGGGCGTTAAGGTGCCCTCACACGGGTTTTTGGAGCACTAGATGCTTGCAGAGCAGCACGGGGTGCTAATTCCTATTTCGTGCCTTGTTTAGTACCTGGAGGGGTGGGAGGATTGATCCACCAGGGTGGCGACTGATAAAGAGTGCCAGCTCTGGGGCCTGCCCCTTGATTTCCCCAGGGTAAGATGCTTCTGCCTTTGCTTGCTCCAGCCTCTTGTATTTCTTGATCTGCTGAGCGTGGGGATGTCCCCTCTGCACCCCGGGATGCGCTGAGGACGGGCGTCCTCACACATGCGGCTTTGCAAAGCCAAGGTTTAAGCTGGAGCTGCGTGGGCTCTCCCGGCTGTACCAGGAGGCACCAAAGCTGGTGGCACAGCTCCGTGTTCGCACCGAGGCAAAGCCCCCCCGGGGGCTGCGGGACGGGGAGGCTAAACTGAGCTCCCCAAGGCTTAAGCTTGCCTTGATGGCTGTGCGAGCCAGACTTTGGTGAGGGCTACAAGACAGGCGGTTGTGTGGGGTTGTGCCGTGCAAAGCCCGA